AAGTCCTGCTGCATAGGAATAATACACCGCAGCTCTCCAAGTAAGCCGAGTTTGAGTGTGTAGGGACAGTCTGGGGTAAGGGTGCCTGAACTGTGTGTAGATAAGGACCAGGGGTCTTCAAATGACTTGTTTTCTTTTAATGTTTTTTTCTTTTACTTTGCAAACTGATAACAAACCAAGCTCAGAAGGAGTTGTATCTTCTTAGCAAGTATAAAGTCTTAAGGGCTATTAACACTAAACAACAACAACAAAAGAGACCGAAATAGTCATAAAACCTTAGTTTTGTGGATCCCATCAGATACGAATGAATCTTGAAGACATTCTACTTCCTCATGGTAGAGGTCCTAAGCTAACTTAGTGAGCTGAACCCACTGAATTCCAGGGTTATAGACTTTAAGAAAATTAGACCTTATGTGCATCCAAGGTCCTATTAACAGAGCACAGTTAAAGGACAACTTACAGAATGGGTGAAAATGTTTGCAGATCGCATATTTGAACAGGGATTACTATCAAGATATACAAGGTGCTCCTAAAACTCAAGCAGCAGCAACCAAAAAATCCACTTAAAGATATCTGCGGGACTCAAACAGGTGGTTCTCTGAAGAAGATTAACGCTTACTGGCCAATAAGGGAAATACAAATCGAACTGTGAGATGCTGCCTCTCACCCATCGGGAGGACTGTCAGCAAAAATACCAATAAGCAAGCAAAACTGCCAGAAACAAGTGCTACTTAGAATGGGCTCTCTTGTGCACTGCTAGCGAATCATGCAGCCACTATGAAAAACAGAATGGCGATTCTAGGTCATCGTCATCATCATCATCAGACAGCCTAGCAAGTCACCGTGTTTGAATATACATCCAAAAGGAAGGGAAGCAAGGCCTTGAAGAGGTGTATACATCGATGTTCACAGCGGTGCTGTACCCAACAGCTAAATTAGTGGCAGCAATCCCAGTGTCTACCAGAGAACGACGGGTAAGCAAAACGCAGTGTATACTTACAAAGGAGTATTGTTGAGCTAAGAAGGAAATCCTGACAGCCCGACACATGTTCCAACATGAACGAAACTTGAGGACATATGCTAAATTAAATAAGCTACTTGTAAAATGGCAAATACTTGTATGAGTTGCTGAGAGCAGTCGAAATCAGACAGACAGAAAAGTCGAATGTGGTTTTCAGGGGTCTTGGGGAAGGGAGAATGGAGAATTACTATTTCACAGGCAGAGGGCTTCCATTTTCCGAAATGAAAAGAGTTACTGAAGACAGATGGTTGTGATAGCTACACATTCTGAATGTACTTAAAATAACACTAAAGTATATTTTTAAAAATAGTTAAGATGGCAGAATCTTGTGTTCTGTGTATTTTGTCACAGTAAAAACAAATCAGTAGAATTGGGTTTAGTCCAGCAGGTGAGAGAGCATGTCCCAGACCTGAGTCCTGGGGCTGGATTCCTGGTGCCAGCTCCTGAGCTGAGCTTCCTGTTAAGCACAACTTCAGAGACAGGGGTGATAGCTGCTGTCACTGGGTTGTTCCACCAACACTGGCAGATCTGGACTGTGGTTCTGGCTCCTACCTTGGGTCTCGGTCCAGCTCTGATCCAGTCCTGGGGCACTTGGGTAAATCATAGGTGGGAGCTCTTTTTCTCTTTTGTTTTCTTTCTCTCTCTGCCCCTTCTAATATTTTAAGATGGAATTAAAAATCACTGAAGCAAAAACAGTGACAATGACAATGTCCTGTGGGGCAGATAACATATGGGAGAATAAAATGGTATGTCAACAGCAACATGAAGCTAGTGACCTAGGAAACAGAAGTTTGCTGCTCAAAGACTTCTGTTCTAAAACTGAGATGCGATGGTACTACTTCAAGGAGGGCTAGGATAAGTTCAGTTGTACGCTGGAAACCACAGAACAATTACATGAGCTAGGGGAGGAGGGATACAGAGAGTAAAGCTCAGAAGTCACTGTGGAAATGAAACAGAATCATAAAACATACTTGGGTAATTCAAAATAAACCTGGAAAAGAGGGGGAAAAAGGACAAAGAAGGTGATAGAAGATTTAACTGAACTATAATAGTAATTATAACAAGTGCCAATGGTCTAACACTTCAACTAAAAGAGAGACTGAACGAATGGATGTATACTCAAAAGAAACCCAAGCTTAAAACACAGCTTAAAAGCAAATATATGGGAGAAGATTTACTATGAATGCACTAACCTAAGGAAAACTGGAGTGACTGTATTAATCAGCAGACAAAACAGGCTGCGGGAACTTATTTTAAAAAAAAAATATTTATTTTTTATTGGAAAGTCAGATTTATAGAAAGAAAGAGAGAGAGGGAGAGAAAAAGATCTTCCATCTGTTGGTTCACTCCCCAAGTAGCCACAATGGTTAGAACTGAGGCAATCCAAAGCCAGGAGCCAGGAACCAAGGTCAGGGTCAGGGTCCCAAGGCTTTGGGCCATCTTTCGCTGCTTTCCCAGGCTATAAGCAGGGGGCAGAAAGGGAAGCTGAGCAGTCGGGACATGAACTGGCACCCATATGGGATGCTGGCACATGCAAGGTGAGGACTTTAGCCATTAGGCTACTGTACTGGGCCTGTGCAGGAATTTTTGATTACAAATGTTACATGATGATGAAAGAGTCAATTCATGAAAAAGACATATAACAATTGCTAATGTGTATTCATTAACACAGCTTCCATACACACGAAGCAAAAACTGATTTGTTAAGAAAAGTAAAGAGATCCCAAGTTAGTTGGTATCTGCAAGAGCAGAGGAAACAAAATGATTCTGGGAAATCTTCAGGTTACATTTCTAGGTGCTCAGAGAGAGGCCCGGCCGTGCAGATGGCGCAGCCAAGGCTCCTGTCCTGTTCCCAAGCAGAGAGCCAGCAGGGAACACACGGGGAGACACCAGGGCAGCAGACGCTACATCACAAACACAACACCACAGACACCGTGCACGCACACCACACCACACACCACACCACACCACACCACACCACACCACACCACACCACACCACACCACACCACACCACACCACACCACACCACACCACACCAACAGGCATATCCGCCTTCAGTTTCTCGGCCTTTGAAATTAAAGGTGAACCTAGTTTATGATATTCTCAAAGGCAAATAATTTTGTACTGTGAGCTGGCGCTGGTCCCTTAAATTCTCACTTGGGGTGTAGGGGCAGAAAGGCAGCTGGCTGCTCCAGAGGGTGGTGCCAACTGCTGCGCTCCCTTACCGAGGACCTGCACACCTTCAACAATTCCGTCAGTACTCAGAGGTATCCTCAGTCGAGGACAAATGTGTCACTACCCATACAATTCACGTGTGGGAACAAAGCTGTTGTGATAACTGCAGTTGTGTGATTGCATCAAAGATGTGCAATGGCAAATCTATGACTTCCTGGCATCCTTTATTTGAAACTTTCTAAAAAAAAAAATCTCTTTTTTGGAAAGATTTATGTATTTGAAAGACTGAGAGACAGCGCGTGAGAGAATCTTCTGTCTGCAGGCTCGTTGCCCAGGTCTCCCTCGTGGGTAGCAAGAGCTGGGGCTCTGCCGTTCCAACTGCCTGCCTGCTGCCCTGTACTCCCTTCTTGATGTGCAGTTGCTGAGTAACGGACCAGTTCTCTGCCATGCCTCCTTCATGTGCTGCGAAGATGTACAATGTACTTCACTCTTTCTTCAAAGAGGAAGACTGCTAAAGGACATGAGCCATTTAAACAATTTATTCCTCATCATTCTGTCAGACATTAGTAACCACATAGTAAAAGAGGGAACTGGAACCCCACAAGATCACGTGACGAGTCCAGGTTTGAGATTTTCTGCTTCAACATCTTGCAAAAAAAAAAAAAAAAAAACAAAACAGACCTTTTTAAATTGCCAGCAGTAACATATCCAAGTTTATTTGGCATTAAATTATTTCTTTGCGGAAAATCTTATTTTCAGATGGAAAAAGTATTTTCTGTTAATCCAGTATTTCAAATGTGCCTTTTCAAGAAGGGGAAAACATATCTTATGGGTGAGATCAAGAAAAAAAAAATCAGGATAGAAAATTTCGAACTACTTTTTCAGGAGCCGGCATTGTGGCATACAGAGTAAAGCTGCTGCCTGTAATGCCAGCATCCCATATGGGCACCGGTTCATGTCCCAGCTGCTCCACTTGTAATTCAGCTCCCTGCTAACAGCCCGGAAGTAGCAGCAGCAGATGCTCCAAGATGCTCTTTCTACATCTCTGCTGCTAATCTAAGAAGGTTTGATTTTCTATTGTCCTTTAGCATCTTCCTCTTTGAAGAAAGAGAGATCACCACCACAGGAGACTGTTTTTAATACATTTTGACCTAAATTTCCTCTACCTATTCTGAGCTGATGCTTGCCTCATAAAATGTACTGAGCTAACAAAGTGTCACACCTCAAACAGAAACTCACTGGGTGTTTCTAGGCAACAGGCAACAGAGCAGAGGGGTTGCTACCAGCTCGGTACTTGTACTGTCCCCAATCACATTCGGGAAATTTAACTCCCTCAGTGACAGTTCTTGGAGGCTGGCATCGGGAGTGAGGAGGCCGTGAAGCCAGCAGCCCGCAATGCCAAGGAAGGCTCTTACCAGAGACCAATCACATCGACTCTGTGATAGGGAAGTCCCAGGTTCCAAAACTGTAAGAAATGAATTTCTGCTCTTTAGAAGCCACTCAGTGTATGGTTCTTTGCACTGTACTCTTGGAAACTGCTGGAAGAGTGGATCTGAACTGTCTTTAACACCAATGAAAAGCACATGAGGAAATGCATACATGTTCATTAGCTTGATTTAGCCATTCTACAATGTGCACTTACTTTAACACAACATGTACAGGACAAAAAAAAATTGTGTGGGTCTTCCTCCCCGACCGCTAACATCACCACCGGAGTCTTGAATCGAAACACTGAACTCCGGTGGTGGCTACAGCAGGCTGAGTGTCAACAGGCTCTTGTCAAAAGCTCAAGGGACACTGACCTGTTCCTGGGTCATCTTCTGCAGCTCCTTCTCCCAAGCTGCCTGGTCATCGTCCATGTTATAGGAAGCTGGTGGAGTGAGTCCACGAAGGATTAGTGGGTCTCGGTCATGGCAGAGGGCTGTCAGGTGTCCAATATACAACTTTAATTTGCTTCTATTTTGGTCAAGTTCTAAGAGGGGCTGAATAATCTGAGGTGAAAAAAAAAATGAGGAAAGTCAGTCAAGGTTGGTCTGAAATGAGAAGTCAGAGAACACTGGCCAAATGCTAAACATTCACAATTATGAAATGAACCAGTCCACCTCCTGCGGCACATTCATTCTTACGCCCACCACCCTCCTGGGAGATGGCAAGATGCTGCCCAGTGCTGCAGCCCACACCCACAGCTCCAGACTCAGGCAGGGGATTCGGCACAGGGCTAACCCTTCTGGAGACGATGTACCTGGCAGAGAGATGGCAATTATCCCCTGGTTTCTCTCTCTCTCTTTTTCTTAAGATTTATTTTTATTGGACAGGTAGATTTACAGAGAGAAGGAGAGAGAGAGAGAGAGAGAGAGAGAGAGAGAGAGAGAAGGATCTTCCATCTACTGGAAGGTCCATCTACAAATGGTTGCAACTGTGGAGCCAGGAGCTTCTTCCAGATCTCCCAAGTGGGTGCAGGGTCCCAGGGCTTTGGGCCATCCTCTGCTGCTTTCCCAGGTCATAAGCGGGGAGCTGGATGGGAAGTGGAACAGTCAGGACATGAACTGGCACCTGTATAGAGTGCCAGCACTTGAAGGGGGAGGACTAGTCAGTTGAGTCATGACGCCAGTCCCCGCACTGCTCTCCTCAGGTATTTATGACTAGGTTACCAAAAACTGCCCATGGAGCCTGCTCATCTGAAAGCCAGGATTCTGTACTCCTCGTGTGTTCTTCCATCTCCCAGAATGGAAGAAAAATTCTGTCTCTGGATAAGGTGTAGGTTTTTCTTGGCCAAGAAATGTGATGAGAGAACTCATGACTAAATGTGCCTCCTCCTGGCGTCGGCTCCCCTCATTCATTACAGAAGGGCGATCTGATATTCCTTTCAAACAGTGACTGATAAATCCTTATGTAACACTAAGCACCTGACTTACAGCCAGGAGCTCTCTGTAATTCTCTTGTTCCTAACAGTGGTTCACGTTTTGCTTTAAATAACAGAACTGCTCTCAATTTTGTCTTTTTGATTTCCTGTATTCTGGGCAACTAAACCAGCCCTTGGCTGCATTTGGAAGTGCACTAAGTGACAGGGGACTCCTGCCCCAGGATTTCACCTGCCAGGTCTTTTGTCTTGTAGTGGGTCACACTGGGATGTTCAGGAAGCGAGCTGGGCTGGATTTCCCATCACAGTACACTGAAGCCTCAGAGCAGCATGTGGTTAACCCCTGGTACCTGGGGGGCAGGGGCCTCAAACACAGCCCAATGTTGGTGGCTCAGCCTCGCTTAAGCTTGGCTTTTGAGGCGGAGTCCTGGGCATGCCACCAGGCTGTGATTTTTCACCAAGGGCACTCCTCTGATGCATTTGGTAAATGAGCTCAACAGCATTCAAGTTAACAGAAATAAGGCCTGCTGATACTTTTGACACTGACACTGATTTCGCCATGGAACCCAACAGAAAATAATCTCTAGCTTACTAAAAGAGATCAGAGTTCAGACTACAGGCCTAAATAGATCATTCAAAGTTGGTTCCTGGCTAGACAAACCAGAGGAAAGTGAGATGATTTAGCATGTTTTTCTTTTTCTAAAAAGAGAGAAAGAGAGAGAAAGGCTTATTTATCTATCTGAAAGGCAGAGTTACAGTGTGTGTGTGTGTGTGGGGGGGGTAGCACAGGGAGACAGGGAGAGATCTTCCATCTGCTGGTTCAGCCCCCTAATGCCTGCAGTAGCTAGGGCGTGGGCAATCCGAAGCCAAGGGTGAGGAACTCCATCCGGGTCTCCCGTATGGGTGCATGCACCCAAGTACCTGGCCATCCTCTGCTGTTTTTCCAGCAAGAAGCTGGGTCAGAAGTGGGACAATCAGACTCAAGCTGGTGCCCATACGGGATGCTGGCACCACGGTCAGTGGCCATGCCACAGTGCCAGCGCCTGTTTTTCATTTTTAGAGAACTCTCTCTTCTGTAAGGATAATGGCTAAACACTGACATGCTGCTGTTGGAAGATTTTTGGATTCTCTAAGAAACCCCTCATCAGCAAGCTGATGGCAGGGCTCTGTGCTGAATTCTTTCCCTATGACAGGCTATCAACACAGCCAGTCACAGAGGGAAAGAGCGTCTCACCAAGCAGAAGATTTGCAGAACTGGGAATCTGGAGTTGCTCACAAACAACACCATCTCTCAAAAAAGAAGTGTGCTTCATTTCTGAGCACCAAAGCATAGTCACTGTGGAAAATTTCCTAAGGAATCTCTGCGTGCAGTCCTTAAAGGCACCAAGCCCGTCAGTGAAGCAAGTGCCCAGTCCTGGGTGGGCCATCAATGTCCCTCTGTCATCCTCCAGACATCGTGAGACAAAAAGAATCAACTTGATTTGTGTTGTTTTCATTCTGTTAGAGAGAGACAGAGAGAGAGCTGCCACCACAGAAATGTCACAGGAGGAATGTAAGGCAGGAAGAACTGATGTATCTTAGGTTATTGCCATTTTGGATTGGAAAATTGGCATACAAAAGTGTGCAGAGGTCAGAAACGGAATCTACAAAGCTGCTAGTCCATGATTACTGTGACTGGAGAGCTGGACGTCTTAGGTCCTTGTTCTTTTTAATTTTTAAAAAGTCCCCGTTCTTTATGGATTTCAAACCAGTTTAAGCATACTTAAGGCTGGAGTGCTGACTGACTGAAAAAACCACCCTCGTTTTGTACCCTTGAAAAAAAAAATCTCAGGACCAATTAAAGACTTAATGTCATAGAATTGGAACGTTTTTCAAGGGCTAAAATCTCATTCTATGCAATCACTAGATTGTCCTTTCTTCTGTCACAGAAAATCGTCTTTTTTGTTTTGTTTTGTTTTGTTTTAGAACTGCCTTTAAAAGACAAAACTCACCTGACCCCTGTACTATGTGAAAACCCACACAACTCCATAAGCGAGCGGCACAGTGCTCAGGCCCATCCAGAAACCAGTTACTTAGGTCTTTCTGGAACATATTAACTACGTCGGTCCAGTGGGAACTGCCCTTATCGCTTCCTTTTTCTGCTATCTAAATTGAGCAGCCCACTTAGAAAAGAAACCGTGATTGCCACGAGGCAGGAATGCCATCGCCTGATCTCCAGAGAGGGATGGGGCACTCGCAAGCACGGACACAGGACGCCTTCCAGGAGTCCCAGGTTCTGGCTTTTGTCCACACACACAGACTTCAGGACATTGGCAAGAAAGTTCTACCAGACACCCCCACCAATGTGGTCAGCCCGGATTGCTCCTATACAGAACTGTTCTTGGCTATCATTTTGTTGCACGGTACAAAAGTTAAAAATGAACTTGTCAAGATAGCCTTTTGCTTGACCCAAGCATAATGCCCAAATGTCAACAGTACTCCAGTCCTATTCTGATCAGGTCGTTAAGAAAAATAATTGATAATTAAAAAAAAATCACCCACCCTAAGGAAAAGAATTTATGAGATAGGGTAGGAGAATCTTAAGCAGTAAGAGCTGTGTTTCTGGGCCCGGCGCGGTGGCGCAAGTGGTTAAAGGTCCTCACCTTGCCGCCCGGGATCCCATATGGGCGCCGGTTCTAATCCCGGCAGCCCCGCTTCCCTTCCAGCTCCCTGCCTGTGGCCTGGGAAAGCAGCAGAGGACGGCCCAAAGCTTTGGGAACCTGCACCCGCGTGGGAGACCCGGAAGAGGCTCCTGGCTTCGGATCGGCATAGTATCGGCCCGTTGCGCTCACTTGGGGAGTGAATCATCGGACGGAAGATCTTCCTCTCTGTCTCTCCTCTCTGTATATCTGCCTTTCCAATGAAAAAATAATAAAAATAAATCTTAAAAAAAAAAAAAAAAGAGCTGTGTTTCTTTTTACAAAGACGAATGCAGTTCGTACGTTAGATGTTCAAACAGGTTCCAGAGGGCAGCACTGGGTGGCACAGGCTGACCGAGCACAGGTGATTATTCTGAAGGTGCTAAGTAAGAAAGGTTAGATGACTATAGGTTCTTTTGCAAGACAGGTGAGTTGTTATCGTATTGTTTGACAGAGAGCAACAGAAGGTTCTAGAGGATTCCATTTCTGTAATCCATTTTCTCATGAAGCTCTGAACACTTTCTTAATGCACACAACGTTGCAAAACCAGGAAGAATGTGCAGAACAATGTCTTATCTGCTGGCTCATTCAGCCAGTGAGACTGGCCCACTGGGTTCTCTGGTCCCACTCAATTTTCTTGTCAGGTTAGTTGACCATAAGACATTTTAGGAACTTGTTTTGGGAGGTGTGGATGAAGAGGGAATTTTTGTTGGGTGGAACACATTATTTTCCAAAGCTAACATTTACCACTGGGGTTTTGTTTGTTTGTTTTGTATCATGATTCTTCTGTGGCTAAGTTAATAGCCTTGAATTTACTGCAAACCTGTTCTTAGTCTTTTTATCTGAGATCACTGGAGTCAGGTACAAGGGCTCATTCATCAAGTGCATAGATGTCAACAACAATCCTGATTTTTTTTTTTTTTTGGCATACCGTTTCTCTGCTTGTAGAGAAAGTTCCAGAATAACCAAGAGATTAACTCCAGAGGCCTAGCTGACAGCTAAACTCTGAAAAGTAAAAATGAAGGCAAGGGAATAAAATGCATTAATTCTGCCTCAAAGTTTCTTTCTCTTTTCTTTTTCCTCAACAGGTTTGTCTTCTTGGTCAGTGATGCACTGAAGGATTAGGAAGATGAAAGTGTGTCAAACCTCCTGGCAAGTGGTTTTTGTTATGTTCTCACTTAAACATAGCTATTTTGTGAAAGGAAAGAATTTGTCAAAAATACAATAAACCTGTTAACATTTTTCTATTGATCAGACATACTGCATGTCAAATTGTGATTAATCAAACTAAAAAAAAAAAAAAAATCCAGGGGCCGGCCGCTGTAGCTTAGTGGCTAAAGTCCTTTCGCCTTGCATGTGCCAGGATCCCATATGGGCACTGGTTCTAATCCTAGCTGCTCCACTTCCCATCCAGCTCTCTGCCTGTGGCCTGGGAAGGCAGCAGAGGATGGGC